AAAAAAAAAAAAAAAAAAAAAAAAAAAGAATCAAATCACTTCTTGCACAAAGTTCATCTGATTCCATGATGTCATCTCTCGCTGTTGTTCGGAATCCACTGCTCATCCTCCTAACTAGTTTCTTCCTTCTTGCAGCAGCTCAAGAGGGTTCCCGCAATGTCAGCGTGGGCGATGCTCTCCCTGCCGATAATCGAAACCTTACATGGCAATCACCATCCGGTGATTTTGAACTTGGGTTTCGCCGTGCTCCAGACCAAAAAGATCGATTCCTCCTTGCTATCTGGTTTGCCCAGATACCCAATAAAACCATAGTTTGGTCTGCAAATGGAGACAACCCTGTAAAGATGGGATCCAGAGTTGAGCTTACCTCCAATGGTCTAGTGCTCACAGCTCCTTCTGGCATGGAGCTTTGGTGGTCCAACAGCACTAAAGATGGCACTGGAGGGGTATCCCATGCAGCCATGCTGGATACCGGAAACTTTGTCATCACAGGCAGGAATTCAGAGAACATATGGGAGAGCTTCCAAAATCCAACGGACACAATCTTGCCAGGACAAGAACTAGGCCTAGACAGCATCCTTTCATCAGGCATCTCCGAAACAAGCTACAAGAAGGGAAGATTTCAGCTCCGTTTCACCTCCGAATCTCTAGTCCTCAATCAAGTAAATGTCGTTACCGGAAAACCTTTCCAATTTTACTTAAAAATCACAGATGGTTCCAGACTGATCTTCAACGAATCCGGGTATATCCTGATCAAGAAATCAAGTGGAAGTCTTGTACTACTTGCGCCAGAAAATACAGTCCCAAAACAGGACTCATACTACAGGGCAACACTTGGTTTTGATGGAGTTTTCACCCTATATTCTCACTCTAGGACCTCCCAAGGAGATGCAACCTGGGCATCCTTGTGGTATAGACCTGAGGATATCTGCTTCAGCTTTGTGAGTCAAGATCCACTGGGAAGTGGGCCTTGTGGGTACAACAGCATCTGTCGACTTGACCAGGGGAGGGCGTCGTGTTCGTGCCCAGTCGGGTTTTCTGCACTGGATGGTAACAATCCACTTTTTGGATGCAAGCCCAACTACCAAAGCCAGACAGAAGGCTGTAACGAGGAAGGCTCTATCATTGGGGAGGATCGTTTTGATTTCTACAAAATACAATTTGCAGATTGGCCCTTTAGTGACTACGAACTCCTGCAGCCTGTAAATGAGATAGAATGCAAGAGGACTTGCCTTATTGACTGTAATTGTGCAGTAGCCATCCTGCAGCCTCCGGAGTTGAACAATGGCACCGGACGCTGCTGGAAGAAGAAACTACCGCTTTCAAATGGGCGGTTCAATCAAGAAAAAATTGACAGAAAGGTATTTATCAAGGTACTGAAATCAGATGAATGTCCGGTGAACCCTCCCAAGCCGGTGAACCCTCCCAATCCAAATCCAAGTGAAAAAAGCCAGAATCAACTCATTCTCACTTTGTCGGTCCTCTTAGGCACATCAGCATTTTTCAACATTTTTACTTTGGCTGTGATTTCCCTGTTTATGTTCTGTTTCTATCAAAGAAAGGTTAAGAATCTCAACAGAATCCACAGTAAAGGAGAGATTGAGACGAATCTGCGTTGCTTCACATACAAAGAACTCGAAGATGCCACAAAAGGATTCAAGGAAGAACTGGGAAAGGGCGCCTTTGGAACTGTTTATAAAGGAGAACTATCCAGGAATTATGTTGCCGTGAAGAAACTAGAGAAGTTTCTTCAGGAAGGGGAGAAGGAGTTCAAGGCGGAAGTGAATGTGATTGGACATACTCACCACCGGAATCTGGTGAGATTGTTTGGATACTGCGATGAGGATGAGAACCGGCTTCTTGTGTATGAATTGATGCAAAACGGATCTCTGGCGAGCTTCCTATTTGGAGTTCTGAGGCCTAGTTGGAAACAGAGATTGCAGATTGCACCCGGAATTGCCAGAGGACTAACAT